CCCTAGTTGCGTCTTTGCTCCTAGTAGCCATTTCCCTTTGTTCCTAGTAGCTTCTTGCTCCTAGTCTTATATCATCCAAGCTCCATCTATTTATTGGGCCCGCATCCACCTTCGCAAAAACCCAAGCCATGAGTCACCAATACTTGTTGCATCAATCTCCCCGCTGTATAGAAATGGATCTAGACCTACAGATCCAAGAGGTGAATTAGCAGCTTTTCTCATTTCATAAATCCATGTTCTTTCAATTCAATTCTCTTTCGACCAATTTCCTCATGCAACGTTTGCCGTGTGGACCTGAATTGCTTGCACCCTGGGAACGCGTGGCTCACGCTGGGACACCCAGCCACTCCGAGGACCCAAAGGCCGACCAGTTTCCAGAGGTTCCGCATTCGCATCCGGCCATCCAGGATGAAGCTCGTCCAGCAGCTTTGGAGAAGTGGTTGAATGGAGGTCTGGGGGTCTGCGCTCCATTTCTTTATTCTCCCGAACCAGGGATTTGACATGGTGGTGGTCTCAATCTTGGTTCATGACCCTTGATGTGAGAGATTCGCAGTCAACATATTGGACAAGCAATCTATGGGTCGCAAAGCATTTGAGGCTTGACACTATAAACGACATGAGTGTGCTGTAGCAGTTTAGTTGTGTTTCCTGATGCTTGGCCTATAAGAATATCTATGATCTATGACACTGATTGTGCTTGATGTTGCACATCTGCCAGAAGCCTTCAGGAAGGCGAATATAGATTGAAGCACAAGCGCCTGTAGAAATCCAAATAAATAAAAGCAACAATTTGTGTTTTGATTCAGAACGGCAAGAACCGCACTTAATGATGTTTCAGAAGGGTCCCCACAAAGGAGCTTAAATCCTAATATTTGATCTCTTCGCAAATCCCAAAGTATTTATGGCAAGTGGAGAGGAAAACATAAAGGAAAAACAAATAAAACATTGATAAGCCTGCGTGAGATCCCCAATAGCTGCTGTGGTCATTAAATGTGGGCTACGACAAGTCATTATTAATTTGACTCTGCTCAAGCTCAAAAAGGGGTTGGTGGCACCAGCGTGTCACCCCATTCTAGCCTTTACAATCTCGTCTTGAAGAATCTACTACAGCAAAAGCAGCAGGAACGTCTTTTTAACACCACCGCAGGATAAGTTGTGCATAGCTCAGATTCGGCTCCAGCGTGCCCTTGAACCAGGCTCCGGCCAAGCTCCTCTACCTCTTGAAATGCCCTCGCATCTTGACTGTCTCTGCTGCAGGTAAAAAGCTTGTTCCCTGGCATTCCGTGGCCAGGTTTGCCATGCTGCCTCAATTCTACTGGGCCCTTCTGCTGTACCGCAACAGTTGCGATCACTCATCAGCGCATCCAAGCACTTTCTCTGATGGTAGAGGACTTACAGCTGGGATGGGTCTCGCCCTTTCATTCATCAATCTTTCCAAGTTGCTTGACCAGATTGCAAGCGTTTGGAGCGCGCTGTCGATCAAAATCAACGGGCTGAGCGATATTTTGAGAGTTCCAGTTCCAGTGTGGTAAATGCAACTTGAACACGAGTATGCCCAACCCTGTCATTACCATTCTTCCTTTCCAGATTGTGTCTACTGTTACGCAGAAAGCGATGCTCAGGCTCACTTCTTCTTCGCGCCACGGCCACGTCCCCTGCCACGACCGCGGCCTGCCAATGACTTCACCTGCCAGAAGCTGCCAGTCAGAGCAGTGCGCCGTGTGAGGAAAGCCAACAAAGAGATCTGGTGACAAGGTGGTGACAAGGTACACGGTAGTGGCATGGTATGGGTCTTTAAGCGATCCTGTCAAACAGGTTACAAAA